GCAGGATTTATCATCGGTGGATACAATCTGAAAAAAAAGATATGCAGATGACACTGTGTTGACAGCAGACACAAAACGATCCCTAGTGGATCTCCTAAAACAAGATAACAAACGAAATCGTAAAGAGGTGACGCATTATCAAGTATATGAAGACAGAGGTTGTAGGTTAACTGACAAGAGCCCGAGAGCCAAGTGACCGACGGATAAGTGCCCGACAGGAAAATGCCCGATAGGGGCAACTGCCCAACAGGAAAATACCCGTATGTACGATTTGACTGCGAGATCTGAATTGGGCATGTTAAAATCAAACAGGTACAGAAGTTTAAATATCTAAGAATAGTTTTAACAGAGGATGGAAAATGTGACAGCGTAATCCGAAGACGCGTTAGAATGGAAAAGAGATGCATACAAAGAATTAAGCAAAATACTAAGAAATAGGAAAATTTCGTTAAAAATAAAGAAAAGAGTATAGAACTGCTATATTATATCAATCCTCTTACATTGCTGTGAATCCTTACAGAAGGCTTGAGGCAAAAGAAATTTGGTTCTACAGAAGGATGCTGAGCATACAATGGATTGAACATGTAAGTAACGTGGAAGTTTGAAGGAAAATGAAAACAAAATGAACACTTACACTTAAAATCACAAAGAGACAGATGAAATTTCTGGTACACATAATGCGAAAAGAGGACTTGGAAAATTTGATACTCAAAGGGAATATGGAACGCAAAAGCCACAGGGTGGGGGGCTTATCTGAACAGATGGCAGAATGGAGAGTAGGAGGCATGTTAAAAAGACATATATAACTAAGAGCTACAAAAAAGACGAAGTTGTGAACAGCCATTATCATCCGTGTCCTGGAGTGACACAACGTGTAAAAGAAGAAATGGAAACAAATAATTTTCTGAGATTTCTAGTTCAGTTCCAACCTGATGGAGCTACTATAAAAACGAATTAAAAGGAAATATATACACCTATGCAAAAAAATGCCTGATTTTTGGTGTTGGTCTATCTACTGACGCTTTTCTAAGTAGACAACGTGTACAAGAATTTTGCTGTTACTACTGCCTGTTCAGTAACAGTCGTTTGGCTAAGTGCTCACTAACCCACCCAATCTTTTCATTGTCAAACTCTATGGCATCTCAGTAACAACACATTTTGTCAAGTTATCCGGAGATGGGACTTAGCAAAGGGATAATTGAACCAGAGTTAGTTTTTGTTGAATAAGCTACCATACCTACTTAACACCATAGATTTGGAACGCATGAAATTTATATCCCATGAGAATAAGCCCCACTCCGGCGCCGTTTCTGGGTGCGTACACGAGACCACCTTTACAGTAATGGGGGCATTTCAAGGAAACGTCTGTGCTCCCAACCAAAATATCTGCCATGATTGACTTTTGAAGTCGTGCTAAAACGATCAAGCTGGATCTAAAGAATTATGGCATTTGAAATTATATCTTCTGGGATTTTTCGATGGTGCCAATAATTTTCCAGTCCATTAAAGCATCTTGGGAACTAAAAATCATAAATTTGAGACCATTTTTGGTGCCGTCTTTAATATCAAGCAAGAACATTTTTCCTGAACATTGGTTTTCCAAATATACTTTTTAATAGTCTTTAAATACGCATACATACACACACATTATACATGAAAATACTTTGCGCAAGATAGAAAATACACACACAGACACATACATAGACACACACAGACACATATTTATATATATATATAATAAAATACAAATTTAATAGCATATATTTATATGTAAATTTAATACAATTTTAATAAAAGTGTGTTATGTCAGTATGGATATATTTGTAATAAAACGTATGTTGTATATAACTATTAACTAAGTGTGAAATCCCAGTAAAAACATGTGTTAATACATGTAAATATAGCATGATGGCGAGAACATGCACACACATCAGTGAACGAGTTCATACATACTCACACACGCACACACACATATATATATATATATATATATATATATATATATATATATATATATATATAAGTTAGTATCTTCCCCTCTGAAATTTCTCCAATCACAGTGAATGAGGCTTTACCTATGCTTTGAACGGGCATCGGGCTCACTCCAGACCACAAGTTGAACTTCACTGAAATTCATTACTAAAGATGTTGTGAAAATGTTTAATTACATGAGTCAGATTAAAACAAAATTGGTGTATGCTGTAATATCTGTGCTAGCACTGCTCAACCCTCACTTTTATATATTTATATATTATATATATATATATATATATATATATATATATATATATATATATATATATATTCGCTGTATTTATTTATTAACAGGGCGTACCAATCTAATACAGTACGAATCTTTGTTGCAACAGTTTCTGAACAGTGTACTTTGTGAACGTTCAAAATTGGGGCTATGGAAAATAGACGGTTAGCTAAATATTGTTTTCAGTCAGACTGTCACACCTGAAATAGACTTAAATACTGAAATATGTTTATAATACACCCCTATATGTGCGTGTGTGTATGTGTGCGTTTACGTGTACGTGGCCAGACGTGAGAAGGCAATTGTGGGAATATCTTTGAGTTACAATTACAGGGTAACCCGGATATGAGACCCGGATATAAGAGAAACCCGGATATAAGAGATATTTTCTCTGGTCCCAAATTAGAGCCTGTGTTAATGCATATAAAATAGACCAAACCCGGATATAAGAGAAACTCGGATATAAGAGACTTCTTCTCCGGTCCCGACAACTCTCTTATATCCGGGTTACACTGTAATACTAAATTAAATGTAGAAAAATCTAGGAACGACAATATGCACCTACGTAACATCGTCTTATACACTTCAACATTTCTCTCCATATTTCTCTTCCTCTCTTACTACATCATCACTCTTTCTCTCTCCTTCTCTCTCTCTCTCTCTCTCTCTCTCTATATATATATATATATATATATATATATATATATATATATATATATTCGACTGGCGTCGAGATCCCATCAATTTACAGTTGAGCTGGATAGATGAGCCGCAACTTCAATGCTAACACTTTCTTTGAAATGTGAATAAAGTACTTTCTGGAACAAACCCTCGTTACCACTTTTGTAATGTCAACGAATACTCAGTGTCACTTTCGTAATGCTCACTGTAGTAGAGACTTTGTAATCGCAGATAGAACTATAGTAACGCCGTTGAACAATACTGGTGTCAGACGCCTTCGAATAGCACTCGCAATAATAGTACTTGCTCGATAATACTCGTTTGAATAGTGACCACCGAGTAGAGTATAGTATAGAGAAGAGAATAGAGAATAGCGGTCCGTATAGTATAGAGGATAGATTGGTAATGCAGATCCGAATAGTATAGAGGATAGACTAGAATATAGCGATCAATCTAGACGTCACGAGACTTCCTATATATGTGTTTCCTCTATGGTCACGTTGCCTACTTAATTCAATAACCCGTATAGTGATCTGAATAGAGAAATAGTATAGTGAATAGAGTAGAGAAAAGAGGTCTGTATAATAATAGAGGATAGACTAGAAATGGCGATCGATTAGACCCTTGCTACCTATCCGTTTCCTCTACGATCACATAGTCTACTTAATTTAATAATGGGATCGCTTATGTTTACTTAATAGCAATCTATGTTCAAACTTAAGTGCCCGGAGTGACACTTTATTTCTATATAAAAATTATACAAGGCCCAAGAGCCACTTAAGGTAGAGGATTACTGAAGGATGTTGTTGTGTGAGCAATAAGAATAAGAGGCACAGTTTATGCGAATATGTGAGAAAGATAAAAAAAAAAGCAGTAGTACTTTAGAGGAAGCCATCCGAGTGGACTTTGCTCCTTATAAAAAGAATACAAAGGGGATTCGGGTGGTTTGCTTCAGTGCACGTGGTGTGGCTGGTCTTAGCAGGGAGGCTTAGAGTTGGGGAGGGAACTGCTCGTCTGTACATTTCAGAAAGGGGTTGTAAGGCCGCGTAGAGATTCACATCTGATGAATTTGTGTTATCTGGACACAACCTAGTCTATTTGGACACATGAGTCCTGGGGTATGACAATAAACTGCATCCAGCAGTAAGACTTCTGATCGCTAGATTGGAAGTTTTGGAGAGCGTGAAACCACCTTTTAATTGCTGTTGTCCCTAGGCCCACCCTCACCCAGGGTGTTAACACCTGTCAGGATCACAGCTATGGGCAAATAGTTAACACCCAAACTGGTGTCAAAACACTATGAAAGTATAAAAATAGATGTTTATAGTAAAAATACCAGCAATACATTTTTTACGAAAAACATTACCAGCAATAGATTTTTCTATAAAAAAAAACAAAAACAAAAAAAAAACAACAAAAAAAATCACACAAAATGTAACAGCAATACATTTTTGGAAAAACAAAATATTACCAGAAATAAATTTGACTCTGGACAAAAACACTCTTTACAAAAATACGTCAATGAAACCTGAACTACAAACTGATCTCTTGCAAAGAATGCATATTCGATTCATACGAAACTATCTTAAAAATACTTTCGACATTAAATAACCCATTGAGGTGTTTATATGCCGTAAAACAATGTAAACAAACCAAACCAGAAGCGTCATGGTGAGACAGGCGTTAAATCTTTATTCTCACTTAGTTCTTCACGACATGTTGTTTGTTTACTCCGTAATCTTGTGGTAACAATTTATGAAAGACAACAAAAACCAAGAAGATCTCAATCAGAAAGTGAAATGTAGACTGAATTTATTTATTTATTTATTCAGTTTTTACGGTTTATCAACCATTTGCAGGTCATTTAAAGTCAGAAAATATTTCTTTTTAAATTGTAAGAATTTTTTTGGTAATAATAATTTAGTGATACAAGTCTTACTGATTAATCTATAGCTGGGGGGAAGTACTATTTACGCGTAAAGGAATATAATGAACTAAACTGTAATTGGAAAACGGCTCTCCGATTAACCATTACCATTACATCACCCGCACACTGTAGCTTACAGCACATGGTATTCCCAAGTGGTCACCCGTCTCGGTACTGACCAGGCTCGACATTGCTTAACTTAGGTGATCGTACAGGAGCTGGTGCTTCAATATATATAGTGTAACCCGGATATAAGAGAGTTGTCGGGACCGGAGAAGAAGTCTCTTATATCCGGGTTTCTCTTATATCCGGGTCTGGTCTATTTTATATACATTAACACGGGCTCTAATTTGGGAACAAAGAAAATCTCACTTATATCCGGGTTTCTCTTATATCCGGGTCTCTTATATCCGGGTTACACTATATATATATATATATATATATATATATATATATATATATATATATATATTAGACTGGCTATTAGTTCACAGTTGAGCTGGGTAGATGAGCTGCAACTTCTATGCTAACACTTTCTTTTCCCGCACTTCTTGCTTGTCGAAAACCCTTCCGTCGCCATGCTTTCATCCCACTTTAATCTGCAAGAATTTTAATTCAATGTCAATTGTCCTCTACCTCCCTCCCGATTGCACTTTTCTCTTTCCGTTCATTATTAATGTTTCTGTTCCTAATTCTTCTACACCCTTTTATTTTTATTTTTATTCTTGTGTTTTAGTGGCTTTACTGCCTTGCATGAGTGATACCAGTTATACCAGTTTAATATATATATATATATATATTTTTTTTTTTTTTAAGCGTTTCACCCCAAGCAAGGCGGGAAGCCACTAGGATGCAAGGGGTTACATGAAATAGCAAGATCAGATAGGAGTGATAGAAGAAAGGATGAGGGTAGTGGATAGATCAAGGCAACTGGAGTTGTCGATTGACATTACACTTGAATAGCTGGAGATTATAGCTCACAGGGAAACAGGAGAAGGGAAGGGAGTTCCACAGGCGAAAAGTGCGAGACATGAAGCTATTAGAGTAGAAGAGACGGCTACATTTAGGAGTTTCGACAGTGAAGGGGTGAGAGCGGGATACCAGCCTCGTAGGGCGCTGGAACTCATGACGTCTGGGAACCAGCGAATGCAGCTCCTCGGAGCAATTTCCATGAAAGTATTTGTAGAACAGACAGAGGGAGGCGACGGCGCGTCTGTGAGAAAGTGACTGTAGACGAGATGCCAGGACAGGGCCAACCATATTGCATATCCGCCTCTGGAGCCTATCAAGAACCCCGAGGCAGACAGAAGGGGCGCCAGACCATATATGGCAGCAATACTCCATGCAAGGGCGAAGTGCGGATTTGTATATCTGGAGGATCGACTCAGGGGAGAAAAACTTCCTAGCGCGGCTCAGGGAGCCAACTTTCCTCGCAGTGGACGAGGCAAATGACTCGATGTATTTATTCCATCTCAGGTCAGCAGTCAACGTGAGACCGAGAAGCCGCAGAGAGTTGCTCTCGAGAAGTTGAGCGTCAGACATTCTAATGGAGGGAAGGGAAGGTATATATATATATGTGTGTGTGTGTGTGTGTGTGTGTGTGTGTGTGTGTGTGTGTCCCAATAGTCACTTAGGTATTAAAAAATTTCATAACATGTCAGATTTTTCATACTTCTTTTTTTCAGAACTTCAGTAATAGATAGCGGCTCGGATTGAGGATTGAGTTCGAAATCCAGTCTGATCCATTACATTAACTTATGTGCTAATATGAATCCTCTTCTCCGCGCCCCCCGCAGCTATGGATAAATAGCAGGACAACTGGGTTTCTAAAGCTTTCTATAACCTTTCTCGGAGAAAGTAACTCTGAATTCAAAACTGTACCCTGACGTTGTACATATTATACAGCTAAAGAAAGGATCATTCGACTGTCGAATGATGACTGATGATGATATCAGACTGAAAACTGCACTTTCTATGGGTACAGGTCTCTTAGTCGGCAATGCAAGTAAATCTGGGACATCTTCAACTCGCTAGTGTTTGTGAATCGATGTCCCTGGTTTTTATTTAACAGAGTCTCGTACTTTTTCTCGATTCATCGGCAGTGTGTTTATGATCTTCCATGTAGCAATTCACCAATGGATGCATATTGATTAAAACATTGAATCAAATGTTTTCTGGTATTGACAGTATTCTTTTTAGAGTAAAAAAAACAATGAACTTGTTAAATCCTAAATAAAAAGCCACGATTTTGCTTCCTCATTCTGTTGTGAATTTTTCCATGGTTAATTTCCCTGTTGTTGAAATCTTCCATCGATTTCGATCTATGAGGATCAGCAGTTCAGTTTTTAGATATCTAAAAGTTTTATATATTTTATATATATATATATATATATATATATATATATAATAAGTTCTGCAAATAATATAAAAAGTATGAAAAATCTGACAATATGACATTTATAAATACCTAGGTGACTATTGGAACACCCTGCACATCTCTCACTCCCTCCCCCTCTCTCTACATATATATATATATATATATGAAAAAAATAAAAAAAAAAATTCTGAATATGCATTATTAATGTTAAAATAAAGTCGACGTCAACGTTTCTTTTGTGTTAAATTGTTCATGTTTTCATGTTAATTATGTTTAAAATGAAAATTTCCATGAAGATGGACATTAATAGACCGAAACGTCCGACGTCGACTTTATTTTTAACATTAATAATGCATATTCAGAATTTTGTTTTTTCAAAATTTTTTTTTTCTGTATTTCATACTGTCAGATTTATATCCATATATTTGCTTACATATATATATATATATATATATATATATATATATATATATATATATATATATATATAAAACGGAACACTTGCGGGCCGTTGATAGCTGTGCCAGCATGAAGCCACAAGTCATCGCGGTCGAAGGTTTGAGTGTGCTGGCCTTGTTCAAATTGTTGATCACGCTAGATAACACGCTCTCTCCCAGAAACTGTAACTAAGGTCTGCTCAATATAGTTGCAGTATAAACCACATGTGGGCTCTGTGAGTGTTGAGCGAACACAAATGTGCCTAACCCTAGCTTCTGCAATAGGGATTGGCTAGCCACGCTAGTAGACAGGTATCCTCAAATTCGAGTGTTATAGATAGATAGATAGATTATGGCGAAATCTTCCGTCGATTTCGACGTATGAGGATCAGCAGTTCAGTTTTTAGATATCTAAAACAGTTTTAGTTTATATATATATATATATATATATATATATATATATATCAGTGCCACAATCATACAATTTGTATCACAGAATGCATCTTAAACGACAACGGTTGAAAGAAATTGATAACAATTAATAGCAAAGTCCTTGAAAATGGCGAAAGAAGTGAAAGCGTTTGTAACAATAAACACTACGGCCAACTTTAACACTGGCTTGCCACCATTTCAAATAATAATTACGAATTTTACGAAAACTCAGTATAAAATTGATCAAATGTTCCTTATATATATATATATATATATATATATATATATATATGATAAAGCGCGAATTTGTAAACAATGACTACTACTGCTAATACGGCAAAGCTCTTCTATAAATTGAGCCCTCTCGGTCATTGGCGTGTTTATTCGAAGAATAAGTGTGTAAAAACCCGCCTCCCTCTCTACCGGGTGCCGATAGCTTAGAGATAAAATCTCCGACTGATGCAAACTCAGTCGATCGCGGTTTCAGGCAATCGGATGTCTAGCCACATTGATGGGCTGTGATACAGCGAAACAGTCAGTCTGTGGATGACTATATATATATATATATATATATATATATATATATATATATATATATATATATATATATATATATATATATATATATATATATATATATATATATATATATATATATATATATATATATATTGTGAGGATACCCATGTTTAAGTAGACGTTCTATTTTTAAACAGTGGGAATTATATCTACCGACCTCAGTATTCGAGAAATATATATATAAATAAAAGGCACGGTGGGGTAATGGATATCGGCTTGGATTGTGGAATCGCAGAGCCGAGTTCGAATCCAGGTTGAATCCATTACATTCACTTACGTGCTAATACCCTTGGGAAAGGTGTGAATCCTCTTCTTCTCCCTCCAGCTATGGGTTAAATAGCAGGACAGACTGGGTTCTGTAGCCTTGGATGGCAACTGGTCTAGGAGAAGGACAACTCTGAATTCAAAACCTGAGGGGGGTTGTTTGTGGACCTTGTGGCACTCGATGCACCAGGTCTCTGTATTCGGCCCTTTAAAAAGTGTGGATGGTCCTGCACGACACCTTCACCACTATAATCGAAACTCATGTGCCGGTGTCGGGCTGTCAGTTTCCTGGAAACTGATCTGCTTGACCCTCATACGTCGAACCCGACGGGAGAATCAATATATATATATATATATAGTAAAAGGTAATAAATCCGTTGGTATATAATCCAAGTGGATCCTAGTAATATGAATTATTAAAACTAATCCACAAGAAGGGTTCAATGTATTTATTATTACAGAGCAAATAATTAGTACAGAATAAAATCCCAAATTACCTCATATGGGGAATAGACTTATTTCAACCGATGAAATTCGTCAGTCTTATTCAACCCTGATAAAAATTGGTAATGCTAATAAGCGACATTGGCGCAAATCATATCTTTATTCAATGGAGTAGGTACCAAAAACATTATCAGCAGGTCAGGTCAGTGTTCTTCAGCTTCCCCGAGATATGACATATGGGAGCAGAAGCCCCACTAAGGGGTGAGGGTCTTTAGCATCGCTAAATCGGACAGAGCAACCCAGCTTGGTTTTAGGCACATTAATAGGACCCTGAAGAACTAGTGAGAAATGTCTAGTTATAGTGGGGTACTGGTGCGGGGCAGACCCAATGACGTTACATCAGCTTCTGTTAGCATCACGAAACCCGACACAGCAACCCAGCTTGGTTTTAGACACGCTAATTGGACCCTGAAGATACCCTATAGTTGGGTACTGGTGTGGGACAGACCCGATGTGGTCATATCAGCTTCTGTTAGTATCATGGAACGGGACACAGCGACCCAACATAGTTTTTGACATACTAATTGAACACCGAAGAACTAGATGAGGTTATGTCAGCAAAGTACCTTGCAGTATGGGGGTGGTTCCATTATTGTTGTTGGGTATGTTCTCCTGGCATGCGTTGGGTCCCATAGTCAGTCCACCAAAACATGTCATTGACGAGTAACCTGTGTTGAATAGATTCTTGTCCATTTGCACCCATCCATGTGCTCCAAAAACGATGGGTTATTCTATCAGGATAGGCCACCATAATTTTCCCTAATTGGCTTGTGGAGCATTCTGATGAATGTTGTGGCCACTACGTTGGCCCGATAATTTATTGTGATGCACAAATTGGTGCTAGGTCGAATTACAGCATTTCGCTGGATTAGAAGATACGCTACAGCAGACCTGCGCAAAATACGATCCGCGGACTGCACGATGCCCGAGGGACAAATCAGGATAGTTCGTTTATAGAAATAGTGATTTTTAGGTGTATTTTACAGATTTCTTTCCAGTTATTCACTTTCAGGCACTATAAAAAAAAGAAAGTGAAAGAAATAAGTTTCTCGGCACCCACCTCTCTATACATTATTTTCTATCACATACACACACGCAAACACACGCACACACACACACACTGATAATCCTATTTAATATCTTTATCCACACTAGATTCGAATCAAATTCAGATTTACGATACTATAGCAGTATGAAGAGACCCTTTCGAAACTCCCGCGTGAGTAAATAATTTAAGTAAGTAATCGGTAATAGGAGGCACGGTGGATTAATGAATAGCGGGTTCGACTGAGGAATCGGAGAGCCGAGTTCTAATTCCAGTCAAATCCATTGCATTCACTTTCTTGCTAATAACCTTGCGAAAGGTATGAATTCTCTTCTCCAGGACAGACCGGGTTCTATAGCCTCGGGTGGCAATTGGTCTAGAAAGAAATGGCAACCTACTGCGGCAAAAAATCTGATATATATATATATATATATATATATATATATATATATATATATATATATCGAAAGATACATGATCGCATAAGCGTGTATCACGCATAGCACATAACTGACTGACTGAAGTAATCAGTGAGCAGAGAGTCTGCATTCACTTCATCATTGCTTGAAAAAGTGAGGCGGAGGTTGATAAAATCTGACTTCGTATTTCGATGTTAATTGTCGGGAAGACACAAGACTGAAACGGTCATCTTTACCAGTGCTGCTCTGTTATTATTAAGTTATTAGTATGTAAATTACTCTCTCTCTCTCTCTCTCTCTCTCTCTCTCTCTCTCTCTCTCTCCCAAATGATTTGTATCGCATTACTTATCATTCCTTATCAGTTGCTTCTCCGTCCTTGGACAGAGTGCACTCAGAGGCGACTCCGACGAAGGACAGAATCGCAACTGCGGAAAATTATACTGAGAGGTGCCCGGCCCTGAGGAACAGCTGCCCGAGTCCGCGTCCTCCCATTGCTCTAGAGAGAAGAATCGGTGCACGAACTGTGACCAGCGCAACCGACGGGGGCTTGGAAATTTTTGTTCCTAGCCCGGGTGTACGCACTCGGGTTCCCTAATTTAAAGCTATCTTGTTTCACAACCTGACCTCGTATGTTGAGTAAATACATCTTAAATTATTATACTTATCTTTATAACCAGAGGCTCGAGCCAATACAAGCGCAATACAACTTATCAAAAGCTAAACGTAAACATTTCTTAAGCCGAAAATAAAATAAAAAATAAAATAAAAAAATCACTATACACAATATTTATTCTTAATTAAGGCATACCTCTTTGGGATATATTATTGCATCTGTGCGATTTATTCTTACGGCCTGCAGCTAATTCTCTCTCTCTACGTGAAATGTAGCCCCTTTACAAATGTTATTCTAATTGGGCAGGCCTTCCCTACAGGATAAATCGCCAACCTGTGACTTTTGGCACGTCAGTGTATGTTTCTATGTAAAAGAAAAATTGCTGAGCATTTCAAATGAATTAAAATTAAAACGTATGTTTAATTCTTTGATGTCTCTTAAGATCTATTCTCTCAAAGTACAACATACTGGCCCACACACCTTAGTAAATTTACCGAAAGCCGGAAGATATCCACGTTGACACAGGGATTGCCGGCTGCCCTCGTTAAAATAAATCGAGCATTCTCCTTTGCGGAATAACTTCAAACCAGTGTGGCTTGACAATCACTCTTCTTTCGCGAGCTCGCGCGCGCGCACGCGCACACACACACACACACACACACACACATATATATATATATATATATATATATATATATATATATAATTCCGCCATTTGTTTATACATACATACATACATACAAAAACACATATATATATATATATATATGTGTGTGTGTGTGTATAAAAAAATGGCGGATACGTTCTTCTCTCCAGCAAAATAGTTTTGTCATTCTTTTGGGAATTCGATACAACTTTATGCTCTCTTTAATTTTTTCTGTCTTTGTCTATGCCCCTTCTCTTTTTCTTTATCTCTCTTTCTTTCTTTCTCTCTCTGTCTGTCTGTCTGTCTCTCTTCCCCCCCCCACACACACACACGCGCAAACACACCATTCAAAGGAAATTCCTTTTTATGCGAATTGAAATCTTACTTTTGCTTCATTTTATCTGACTCTCTTTCTTTCTTCATTCAAACAGATGCCAGACATAGTCTTCATTCTCTTTCAAACAAAAAGCTTTTTTTCAATTTTCTTTTCTCACTCTCTTTCTCTTTATTTGTATCGTCTTCTCTCTCTCTCTTTCTCTCTCTCTTTCTCTCTCTCTCTCTCTCTCATAAACACCTATCTTTGCCTCTCTCTTTCTTTCCTCCCTTCTTTCTTTTTTCATTTTCTTTCTCGCACAAAAGATTATTTCTTTATACAAATGAAAATCTCGTTTTCTTCAATAAAATCTCTCTTGCTGTCTTCCCCTCCATCTTTATCACATACTCTTTCTTGCTCTCCCTCTTTATCACACACTCTTTCTTGCTATCCCTCTTTCTCCCTCTCCCTCTTTATCACACACTCTTTCTTGCTCTCCCTCTCTCTCTATCACACACTCTTTCTTGCTCTCCCTCTCTCTCCCTCTTTATCACACACTCTTTCTTGCTCTCCCTCCCTCTACCTCTCCCTCTTTATCACACACTCTTTCTTGCTCGCCCTCTCACTCCCTCTCCCTCTTTATCACACACTCTTTCTTGCTCTCCCTCTCTCTCCCTCTCCCTCTTTATCACACACTCTTTCTTGCTCGCCCTCTCACTCCCTCTCCCTCTTTATCACACACTCTTTCTTGCTCTCCCTCTCCCTCTTTATCACACACTCTTTCTTGCTCTCCCTCTCTCCCCTCTCCCTCTTTATCACACACTCTTTCTTGCTCACCCTCTCTCCCTCTCCCTCTTTATCACACCTCTTTCTTGCTCTCCCTCTCCCTCTTTATCACACACTCTTTCTTGCTCTCCCTCTCCCTCTTTATCACACACTCTTTCTTGCTTTCACTCTCTCTCTTCCTCTTTTTCTTTCTCTCTATGTCTCTCTTTCTCTCTCCCTATCTCCCACTCTGTCTCATCGCCTCTCCTCTCTCTCCCGCTGTTTCTTTCTCCCTCCCCTCCCTATCTCTCTCTCAACAAGTTTCAAAACACGATCTTCTGTCAAACGAAATATTTTTTCTTTCAGGAAAACGACAAAGTCTCTATCACTCTCTTAATTTTTCTCTCGGTCTCTGTCTCTTTCACCATTCAAAAAAAGAGTTTTTAGTCTAAAATAAGTTCATATATATATATATATATATATATATATATATATATATATAATACTATTATGTATACTGCTTTTAAACAACAAATATTTCCCATGATTTCTCTCGAACGTTCATATCTACTCGAAGCGTATCTTAACGTAAACAAATAAAACATCATATATTATGAAATGAACGAAGTCCCACAATTACTTAATATATTTTCTATTTATACGTTATTTCTATAGATACAATTTAATTGGAAATTTGTTGTTTAAAAAATAATTTGACTTTGCTAACCAGACACTTCCTCTGTATCTAAATGGTATAGCACGTTTCGTGTAGGATACAGGTTTGTTTCCTGTCGGAGGACGCATATTTTCTATGAAAATTTCTCGGAAAATGAGGCCGGTAAATGTAGTTAATACTGTTTATTATAAACAGAACGATTACTTAAATATTTGTATATATAAAATAACGTATAAACAGAATATATATATATATATATATATATATATATATATATATATATATATATATATATATATATATATATATATATATATCGGAGGGTAGACGGAACTCTTGCGGGCCGTTGAGAGCTGTGCCAGCGCGAAGCCACAAGTCAAATTGGCCTTGTTCAAATTGGTTATCACGCTAGATAACACGCTCTCTCCCAGAAACTGTAACTAAGGTCTGCGAGGCATAGTTGCAGTATAAACCACAGGTTAGCTTTGTGAATGTTGAGCGGACACAAATGTGCCTATCAAACAGTCTGTTTCATGTTAGCATGAAACAGACTGTCGGCTCAATGTGTTAACCTCTATGTTCACTTTTATATTTACACACGCTCTATCTCTGATATTGAACACTTTATCCCATAAATATAGCACATCTTAAGACTATATTTATATATATATATATATATATATATATATATATATATATATCACCTTATGCCATTTAAGTTTAAGAAAAGTTTTATTAGAACTTTCTACATTCGGACGGCGGGGCGAAATATATTTTTTCTTCTCTCAACAAAATCTTTTCATTTAGACAACATTCATGTAATTACTTTAATCGAGTTATTTCTTCCTTTCAGAAAATCTATTCCCTTTTTCGGACTCTTTCTTCCTTCAAATGAGATTTTTTTTTTTTTTTTTTTTTTTTGCAATTCCAATGAAAATGTTTTTTTTTCTATCTTCAAAATAGATTCTTTCTTCTTAATTCAAACAAAAATTAACTATTCTTTTCATTCAACCCGTAAGTTTCTCTCTCTCTCTCTCTCTCTCTCTCTCTCTCTCTCTCTCTTTGTCTGTCTTTCTCAATTCTAGCGAAATTCTATCTCATCACATTAACGAAATTCAGTCTTTTCTTATTTGAAAAAAAGAAAAAAGAAAAGAAAAAGATCTTTGCTTACTCAAACGGAAAATATCTGTCGCGTTATTTTTTTTCAAAACGATAAATTCTTTCTTAATCTTTTCACTTTCTCACACACTTTTTTTGCATACCTATATTTTCTATGTGCCGTGTCCGTTCAAGACATTTGGCGATCATGGCTCTCCACAATTTCCTGACATTTCAGTCAGTTATATGCCATGAGTAATACACACTTAGCCGATCATATGATCCAATCATGGTTTATGAGACAGTAAGTTGCCATTTCTTTCTGCGGTAGACCAGTTGCCATCCAAGGCTATAGAACCCGATCTGTCTTGCTATTTAATCATAGCTGGAGGGAGAAGAAGAAGATTCATACCTTTCCCAAGGGTATTAGCACGTAAGTGAATGTAATGGGTTCGATTGGAATTCGAACTCGGCTCTCTGATTCCTCAATCCGAGCCGCTATCCATTACTCCACCGTGAATCCTATCCTTTGCAGCTCTTAATTGATCTTCTCATTATTTCCCCTAAACCTTATTCCACCATGCATTTACACAAGTTCGCTAGAGAGTTTTTTTCCTCAGTCTCTCTTACCTTCAATCTGTCCTTTGAGCATCAAATTTTCCAAGCTCTCTTTCCTCATGATATGCTCTAGAAATTTCAAATTTCTCTTCCTGGAGTTAAGTATAAGTTTCTTTTTTGTTTCCATTTTCTCTAAAACACTGTCGTTGCTTACATGTTTGGTTCATCGTATTTTCAACATCCTTCTGTAGAACCACATTTCTCTTGCTTCAAGTCTCTTCTTCATCTATGAGGAGATTTTCCAGCATTCACTGCCATATATTCGGACTAATATTACGTAACAGTACGGCAGTATTTTCTTCGATTCTAACGAGATTTTTCTGTTTCTTAGTACCTTGCTTAGCTTTTGGGGAGCATCTTTCACTACCCTTCGGGTTTTGGCGTCACACTTTGCACGTTCTTTTAAAATACTTCCCAGATACTTAAATTGTTTAATTTTGGCAAATTTGTTAGGCTGTTCCTTTTAGCTAACGATCATGCATTCTATCTTCTTGCAGCTAATGTTTAACCCTTTCAACTCGCTTTCTTTCACTATCTTTTGTAGTTTATTATCTATGGCTACCATCAACACTCTGCCACCTGTATATCTTATATTGTTAAGATTGTGGCCGCCAATAAGGAATCCTAGTAGGATTTCTAATTCTTTCAGAATCGTCTCGCTGTATAGGTTGAATAAGTCCGGTGAGAAGACACACCCTTGTCTTACACTCCTTTCTATTTTTGTATATTTACTGAGTTGGAGGCACGGATTGAGGAAACCGAGATCGATTCCAGTCGGATCCACTACATTCACATACATGCTAATATCCTTAAGAAAAGGTATGAATCCTCTTCTCTACACCCCCCCCCACCAGTTATTGGTAAAATGGCAGAACAGACTAGGTTCTATAACCTTGGGCGGCAACTAGTCTAGGAGAAGGAAAATCTTAATTCCAACCAGCCTGGAGAGGGTTGGGCTCCGTCAGGCTATCTTTCCCAAGAAACATCACGACTCTGAAGGATTCACGATATTTACTGAATTTTCATCACTAAGGTTTGATGTCTATAGATTCTGGATTATTCTAATATCCTTCCCAAATATGTCAAGGCTACCTAGAACTTCCAACAGATCTTTGCGATGTACTTTATCAAACGCTAGGTACGAATACTTCTGCATTTGTATTGTGTATGCCTATCAATCTTTATTATTCGAATGATATACCCGCTCTAACAATTTTTCTATCCCTCCGTTTACTTTGTTGGTTTAAATTTACGCATTTAAAATACTGGATACCAAATGGGAAGAACGATAAACGAAATTTTAAAACAAGTTTTTCTTTTAATTACCCGATCCCCAGCCATGGGTAAAAATAGGTCAGATTATAACCTTCTATGGTAACCGGTCTAGGAGAAGAAAAAACCTCTGAATTAAAAACTGTATGCATCCCTGTCGAAGCACATACAATTCAGCTAAGGGAAGGACCGTTCGCATTGACACGTTGGTCTCTCCTAAAAGTATGATTCTAAATTCATAACATGAATACATTTCTTAATTTGTTTCAAGAATAAACAGTTGCTTATTTCACGCATTTACTTGGCGGAGTTTCGGGTAAACTACTGCTGCTGCTGCTGTTAAATTTCATACTATGAAGGCGTCGAGCCAAGGTGAGCCACCTTGTCCTTCTCGCTCTCAAGATCGGAATATCCTCTGCTGCAGGCCCTGACGAAAGATGTCTTTCCAGCGGATGCGTGGTCAGCCACGAGGTCATCGCCAGTTTGCAGATGACAGGTCGAACTGATAGGTGACTCTGGTAGGACGGTTATCATGTTATCGCAGGACGTGACCGAGCCAGCGAATACGGCGCTGAGCAATTTTTTTTAAGCGTTTCGCCCCAAGCAAGGCGGGAGGCCACTAGGACGCAAGGGGTTACAGAAAATTTGGAGCAAAATCAGATAGGATTGGTAGAGGAAAGGATGAGGAGAAGAGTAGTGGATAGATCAAAGTAACTGGAGATGTCGATTAACATTGCATTTGAATAGTTGGAGATTATAGCTCTCAGGGAATCTGGAAGAGGGAAGGGAGTTCCACAGGCAAGAGGTGCGAGATATGAAGCTATTGGAGTAGAAGAGACGGCTACATTTAGGAGTTTCGACAGTGAAAGGGTGAGAGCGGGATGCCAGCCTCGTAGGGCGCTTGAATTCATGAAGTCTGGGAACCAGCGAATGCAGCTACTCGGAGCAATTACCATGAAAGTATTTGTAAAAAAAGACAGAGAAAGGCGACGGCGCATCTGTGAGAGAGCGACTGTAGACGAGATGCCAGAACAGGGTCAATTATATTGAATATCCGCCTCTGGATCTTATCAAGTGTGCGTAGAATGCCCGGCTGGCCGGTTCTCCGGCGGAGTTCCTCACTAGACACAAGATCGGACCAGTACAGTCTCACGATAGTTCTGAGGACGCAGGAATCGAAGCCATGCACGCGCGAGGCAGTAACATGAAAGATGTCAATTAATTTGTAGGCAAAGTATTAAAATATCCTTAAAAAACAAAGAATTGCATGCTGAAGGGCTATGGAATGTATAATTCCCTATTTAGCAGGGAATACTCGACAATTTTCTCACAGACGAAGAAAAAACTTGGTTCGACGTGGTTCGATCGATGCATGCTATGTTCATAAGATGTGAGCAACGAGCAAGTTTTAAGAAAAATAGGAAGGAAATCTATACTTTTGAGTTGACATTTCCAGTACAAATATTGAGGAAAGACGGCCTAGAGAATTGAAAACTCAGAGGATAGCACACTGAAAGCAACATAAGCAGAGGAAAACAGCGATTAACCTACCCAACGATTTTGTGTGAATGAATGGAACAGAGACAGAAAGAGTTCTTCCATCCAGCAAAATAGTTTTGGGTTAAAGCTGTCTTTGGATTAAAGCAACAGAAATCAGAAAATCGTGGAGAGCTATGATGACCAACATCCTGAAAGAACATAGCACAAAAAAGAACATGAAATCAGCGAGCCGAGTTCAGATTCCAACTGAATATGTTTACGCTGACTTAATGTAAATGACCTTAAGATAGACATTAATCCTTCTGGGTAAAGTAACAAGGTAAAATTCATTCTCTAACTTACCAACACATCAAGGATAAGGAAAACTTTGAATTGAAATCAGGAATGGAGCTTATAAAGGTTGTTGGTATGAACTTTCTTCCGGCAGTGACTTTAACCAAATTGACTTAAATACGTATAGGTTCTTCAGGTCTCCGGTGAAGATCAAATGGGCCTAGTAAATTGGAAGTGGATTAAGTAAATTGCTCAAGTAAAAACACAATGAGAAACTCTCTACGTCTCATAGAACAAATGGATAATGGGATAATGTGTTAAGCCAGATCTTGCGTAAGGTCATTTAAATCATCTCCCTCTCTCTCTCTCTCTCTCTCTCTCTCTCTCTCTCACACACACACACACACACACACACAGACACCCGTACGCGCTTAAGTATGTATGTATGTGGACGAGTGATTAAAACGTTTGTTTTCAACCATGAGACCCGGGTTCGAATCTAAGTGTAGCAGATTTGTCAGGGAAGTGACTTCGTTATCTTATCGGCCTGGTGGGCGATACTGGTGTCAGGTAGCGTTGGAATTGGAAATTGCCTGAAAACCATACCAAGGGCTAACCCAAGCTTTGTGCGTGAAAATGGGTCGGAGCTATGCAGAAGCCGTTGACGGCTGCGCCAGCACGAGGCTCCAAGACATCGTCGTCGAGGTTCCGAGCTCACTGGTCATGTTCAAACTGTTGATCGGGATATGAGTTCTCTTCTAGAAAGTGTAACCAAGATCCAATCAGCATAGCCTCAGTGTAAACCACAGCTGTGCTCTGTAGGCGTTGAACAAACAGAACTGTTCCTGTGCAGATGCCTGCAACAGGGATTGGCTAGCCGCCCTAGCAGACAGATCTGCTCGGAAACGAGTAGCCGGTTATTATTATTTATTTATGAATAGATATATTAGGTTGGTGCAAAAATAATGACGTAAGAATGTCGTTTTTTAACGTAGAAAAGTACGTCAAAAAACGACATTATTACGTCATTATTTTTGCACCAACCTAATAATTATATTGTTTAAAAATTGTTGTATATATCAGGAAAGGGCGTTCAATGGCATTCGTTAGAAATCAACACTAAATGGAGGCTGTGGGTTTCATGGTCCAAGATTTTTAATGAATGAAGGATCATTTTAGACTTTGGAGCTAACCTTAATGGCGAAATTTCTTTTCGCATTAAAACCTGAAAGAAAGACGTGCACTTTAAATGTCTTTTCCAGAAAACAAAACACAGATTAAGACAGAAATACCCAAATGATGAAAGCTTGCTTCCTAATTTCTC